GTATAGTGGACGATTTTTACTTTCTCCGAGCCTGACTACATGGCATTTATTGGTGTTGAATTCCATTTCCCAAGTACAACTCCATATGAATAAATTCTCCACCTCACTTTGGAGGCATTGGAATGAGAAGACGTGTGTTTTTTTCGCGTCGTCTGCAAACATATTCAGATGACTACCTGGGCTTATCTTTGATGAAAATAGTAAACAAAATCGGCGCCAAGTCCTATCTTTGATGTACTCCACTAGTTACTCGTCGCCATGCAGAGTGCTTCCCTCTAATTACGGTTCTCATCTGTCTTTCATGAAGAAAGTCTTTCATCCGTTCGAGGAGTTTGCCTTTCACTCTACCAAGGTCTTCTGTGGCGGTTTATATAGACTTCTTACCCTGGTATGGCCTGTTAAATTTTGGTTAAGACCAAATTCTTTTATGAATTCCACTAATTTTGCATTACACGAATCTGGCTGAGCTCTGGGATTGAAATTTTCCTAGTTAATATTGCTAATAAAATCCCCTGTTACAAGTATGTCTTTTACATTAGTTTCCGGCAGTTGTAGCATTTCTTCCAGGGTTTCGTAACGTTTTTTTTTAAATAAGTTTTGTAATTTTCGTGTGACCACAACGATATGTATGAGGCGGCATGTACACTATGGTTATTATTATGTTTACTCCGTTTGTTTCTACCTCATTTGCCTTTAGTTCTACCGTGGGGTCTAATTCAATCTATATTTTTTTTTATTTTAATTCCTCTCTTTGTTAATACTCTCCATTTGCCTATCTTTTCTCCAAATGTTATTGTCTCCGAGTCCTAATGTTACATCGTCTACGGAGAGATCCAGTTTGGATTCATTGTATATTACATCTGCTTTACTAATTTCAATAACTGTATATAGTTCAAGTAACTTCAAACATAAATCATCTATATTTGTATAAACTATTTCTATATAGTCTTTCGGTATTCCTTTCGGTTGCAAGACTAATGTTTGCCTGAATCCAATAGTAAACTTGTTTTGCTTGGAGGCCTCTCCCTCTCCAAATTAACCTTTTTTCTTCTTCTTTAGTCCTTTGTTCGTTTTATTTTTTACATCTTCCATTTTTTTTTCTGAAGTATTTCTCAGTCATTTTTGGTCACATTTTCTCTTTTCCAGATTTTCTTATATGCTACGTAGGTGACCAGTACTTTAGCTTTCTTTTATTACATCATTTACCCTATTCCTTATTCATGAATGTCACTTTTCAAAGAGGTTTCTTTCACTTTTCGAATAATACCAACCTCCTGTGAGCTATGATATTCTGTTCCGAGAATGCGGGAATTATGACTTTGAGAATACTTGCAATCAATTTCTTGTCTTCATTGTATCGTTCAGTTCCATCTTCTACAAGTTTTTTTTTTCATGTCACAATATGAAATTAAACATGGTCGCCAACGTCAGGCTCTGATACGGCACTAAAAAAAAGAAAAAGAAAAAAAATATGACTGTGTCCTTGTTTACATCAGCCAAATTAACAATATTCCTTACGTGTTGTGATGTGACTTGGATTCGTTTTTCTTTACCGTCTCTGCAAGCTGTTTTTATTTCTTCCTTTGTGATCTTGTCTTCTCTAACTTTTTCTTTCCATTTCTTTTGCCGTTTCCTTTAATTCAGATAAACTGACATATGTAGCTCTTATCTTTTTTGCCTCTTCCATTATCTGAGACTGGCTGCTTGGCAAATTGCTTTCAGTCTGCTTAATAGTTTCATGTACTTTAATTACTTCATCAACTTTTTCTTGCAGATTTTTTGCTTCGATTTGATTTCTCAGTCTTGGTTTCTACGTCATCCATCTTTTCCTTAAGTTCTTTGATTTTCACATCAGACTTTTCAGTATCCTCTCTCTGATTGGTTGTGTTCCCGCGTAAATTATCCACTAATTCCTTCAAATTTACGTTTTCTTCACGGATTTTCAAACTTACAGGATGTCTACCTTGGCTTCAAGAGCCTCAATTCTAACTACTGCTTCCTATAACATCCTTTTCCTTGTCTGATTGTCCATAAAACATATAAAAACAGAGCTTTACCTCTGTGTGTGTGTGTGTGTGTGTGTGTGTGTGTGTGTGTGTGTGTGTGTGTGTGTGTGTGTGTGTGTGTGTGTGTGTGTGTGTGTGTGTGTGTGTGTGTGTGTGTGTGTGTGTGTGTGTGTGTGTGTGTGTGTGTGTGTGTGTGTGTGTGTGTCTGTGTGTGTGTATTCATATATGAAACCATGAGTTATTTTTCTTAGCTTAGCTACCTTATAAGTTTACGTTTTCTATGACCGCAATGAAAAGGTTTCGTTTTCTTTGGATACTACATTTAGAGGTAAACTATTTTAAGTATAAGTAATTCGGTGAACTCAATTATGAACGCTAAATAATTCAATAGAAACAATGCGGTTTTGATGACTATGATTATTGCAGACAAATCGATGGCTGTATTATTTGTTAGAACATGAATCACATATAAGCATATGCGTCACTAATGTAAA